TTTGGACGATCCGACTCTCCCTCGCCAACCTGACGGCTCGATCGTGAGACCACCTTCGGGAGGGCTCGGGCGTCCCGCACGCGCGGATCATGTTAACGTGCGCTCTCCCTTGTGACAGAAATCGACAGAAATCCTAGGCATTGTAGGTGGTACGATAGGGGGGGCTACCATTGGGAATGTCCGAGCTGCAAGAAGAACCACGGCCAGAACAAGCCTGGAGATGTACTAGCACCTGGCAAATGCAAGTTTGCCAAACCCTGGAAGCTGCCTGACAATCATGGACCTGAACCACCGGCTCCCGCTGCACCAGCAGCACCGCCACCCGAGGCGCCAGCCGCGCCACCACTTATGCGGCTAAGAGCGCCGAGGCCCAGCTCTAGAGCCGGACCTACAGCGGTCGCGAGCAGTCACGGTATTACAGTAGGCATACATGCTGCTGAACCTGCTGCAGAAAAACCTGCCTTCGAGTGGAGCTGGGAGTTCGGATGGCCATCTCCGATTGCCACAGTTTAGAGTCAGACGTGGCCGACAGCGAGGTGGAGATGCACCTCCTCCGCCACCAGCGGGTAACCCTGCTGCGCACCACGACTTCCAGACTGGTCACGGTTCGACGTACAAATCAGTCTACAAAATTTACGAAGCCTTGACCTAAGCGTGGTAACGCGCGGGTTGCGGAAGCTACACTTGTGCTGGTTTCATTGGAAAGAGCCTAATACGAGACTCATCTTAACTAAGATAGGTTTGGACAGCGTCATACTCAATCTGATTAAAGGTGTCTGCGACACATGTCGGGAGCGCAAGGCTTGGGGCAAGCCTGGGCATGCGGTTATGCCCTCATCGATCGTTGTATTCCATATGCTATTGGAATGGAGGTACCAGACAAGACGCTGACCAGTATGCTGTGCTACTCCGACGGAGAGAGTGCTCTCAAATACGACACTGCGAAAGCAGTCCTTACGGCAAAGGGCACTGAACTCAGGGCACGTGCGCGTGGACAGCACGCTGCGACGATCGAAGCCAGAAACGGCATTACGCCATCTACTTCGTGTCATGGAAGCTGAACTCAACAGGTTGGACGTACCTCTTGTGTTCATGCGACTACTACACACGGCCTTGTTTGCCACCAACGCGTTCACCTTCTACAGCGAGGTGTCTCCATGCAACGCTCTGTTTGGACGGCAACCAGCAATGCTTCCTGACTTGCCTGTCTTGGACCACGAGCAGCCGACGGCAGCGTCGGATCATTCTCGTGAGCAGACGATACGCAAGGTATGCATTGAAGCTGTCGCGCAGGCCACAGCAGTAGCTAAGACCAATCGTGCCTTACGCACTAAGACAACTGTCGCCGGTCAGATTTTCTACGATGAAGGAGACTTGGCCGATATATCATCGCCCCACAGCCACAAAGGACGACCGGGGAGGCTGGAACGGCGGCCCAGTCCCAGTTGTAGAGAACGATCCCGAAAAAAGGGTCAAGTCATCGTTCGAGTTGGCAATCGCGATGTTCAGGTACAATGCGGTGATGCAAGGCGTTCGCTCTATATTGAAGCACTAATAGCCATTGGCACTGGCTCCGACAACACTGCTCTACGGACAGTGTTGACGTTCGTGGCCAGTTTACCAGCGGGGAGACCTGTTATGACATTCTGCTATGTACCGACCAAGCAAGGGACGCTTCAGATGACGAGATCAAGCCGTCTATCTCCTGAGGTACACCTAGCTTTACAGTGCCTTATCAGAAACTACTTCCGCATCGGGAACGTAGTTTCTGTCAGGTTAGCTAAGAGTATCCATGAGCTACCTCCTGCTGCTTTCGCTGGCAGCTGCACATTGGTCCACTATGACAACGACGTGAACCCAGGATTTCACTACTATGAAGCAGAAGGCACCGCACTGAACATACGCGACATAACTGGATCAGCACATTCGAGGATCATCCAGTGCCCAAAGACCACCAAACCTCAAGCAGGTCTTGACCAGGACATGACCAGGTTTGCGGAATTGGCGGATGCACCGGCACCGGATGGAACCGAAAGAGAAGCCTCAGAAGCCGAACCACCACAAGATGCTGGATGGTATTCTACTACGATTTACGAGGACTCGGAGGCCGATATCGAGTCACATGTCATGGAAGTGTGGAATGCAGAACTACAAGATGAAAAGGAACTGCTGGAGGCAACTCCACCAGAGGACCTACTCACAATGCCCGCGGAGATGGTTCCAGACCGAAGTGTGCTGATCATTGTAGCTGATGAACAGCGGGGACACCTGCCTAAGTGGGGGCGCGCGCGCGACTCCGACACCGAGGAGACGTATCACCACCCGATGTGTTCCATGGTCGAAGACTGCAGCTACGGACTGGACGCAGACGAAAATTGGCAGTATGTAAAACTCTGCTTCGCGGCAGAAATGTCAAAGGTAGTCTTGTCCGAACAACAGCGCAATAAACTAGATGCCGACCGTGTGACCACTATGCGAGTATATGTTACCGCCGCTGCAAAGCGAGCTGTGGTCGTCAAGGAAGACGACCTCCTCGCGAAAGCTGACGCCCAGGCGAATCCCAAGAATGTATCGAAAGCCCTCTACACTGAACTCACGACATGGTTTGACAATAGGTGTTTCAGAATGTAAGACATATCCACGGCGTCAAACATCATGACTTCGAGGTGCGTGGACGTTTGTGAAGAACGATAAGAGCGAAATGGAACGTGCTATCATATCACGTCTAGTACTCCGAGGCTTCATGGACTTTGAAGCCATCGGCGTAGAAGCCTTTTCGGGAACAGCGCGGCGGTCGAGCCAGATGCTATTCGCTAGCGCGGCAGTGTGCAAGAAGCAATGGGTCATTGCTTCCCTCGACATCAACATGGCCTTCCTGAAAGGGTTGGCCCGCCAGGAACTTGCTGTGGCGACTGGTGAAAAGGAACGTTTTGCCGCCTGGATCGGCCGCGGTGCTCCGGGCTCTCCCAGGCTTCGACAACTGCGACGAGTCAAAGCAGTGCTTGCAGTGCCAGAAACCAGGCACTGGCACCAAAGACGCACCGCGAGCTTTCTCACTAAATCTCATGAGGACCACGCGAGGTTTTGGTCTCCGACCCCCGTCCTGCGACGAGGTTCGAGACGAGCAGCAACTTGCTTGCGGCCGAACATGTTGATGCTATTACTATGGCCGGTACTGAGGGCACCATTGCCAAGTATGTCAAGCGTGTAGAAGACACCGTTGGTAAGTGTAGACTCAACGAGCACATGCACCAACTGTGCTGTGATATCTACCGAGGATGAGGGTGGCAATGTTACTTTGGACCAAGACGAATACATCAATCAGCTCCGTCCTATGCAACATCCTGAACTTGCTGGCGCCGACGCTGACGCTCAGGCATCCAAGATGGTTGCAGACATGTTCGTCATCCTCAGAGGTGCGCTGGCGTATGCATTAATCACCCAGGTGTGGTTGATGGTGTATGTTGTATCTCTGCAGCGTGTCCAAGAAACGAACGACGTTCAACTGCGACGACTGAACGCGATCACCAGGAAGCTGCAGGCCTGCCGCGGGGACATCGTCTATCAGGCGATGACCCCGACGGGCGAGGTTGACCTGCACAGCGACTCAGGATACCGACGCCTGAGTGGAGACGCCGGTGACGACGTCGAAGGCTATGGTTTTCGCGGGGCAAACCTGCTACGGCGTGGAAGCGCGCCATCCGGTAAACCTATCGTCCACTTGATCGATGCGCGCTACAAGTCTCACCGCTTGCAGGTCCGCTCGAGTTATTCAGCAGAGACACTAGCAGCAGCCCATAATTTGGAGGACTGTTATCCCATGGTTGTGACTCTGCTTGAGCTCCACGCGGGACCGCTCACGCCCACTCAATTGAAATACATATTTGGGTTGGGTGGCCTGAGCATCAAGGTCACTTGGCCATCGATGCCGATTCTGTTTTTAAGTCCTTGTCAAGCAAAGACTTGCAGAAGCCGATTGAGTGTACCCTTTTAGGACACATCAGTTGGATACGACAATGAATGGAGCGTGGAATCGTGCACAGTATTCAGTGGTGCGACACCCGCGATATGACTGCGGACGTTCACACCAAGGGGAGCATCGGCAGAGAGATGCTCCTACAGGTCATGGGAGGTATACAGGCCTTCAAACATGACCTAAAGAGTCATGCTCCATATTGGGCCGGCCAGACATCTGGTTCTGTAGCCGCCTGAGGAGTATCTTTAAGTACAGAATCGTACAGGAGAGACAATTTGCGTGCGGGTCCACCTTCCTTATGTCCCGCCCTTTTTTTCGGTCCTTTTGTATTTTAGCTGCTGCACCTGCTGTAAGGGGGCGGCTTCCTCACGCTTCGTCTCCCCCCCCCGACTCGAAAGTGAGCTGGGGGACACAGGGAGCGGAAGCGAACGTGTACCCGCGGCCGCGTCGGCTCAAGCGGCCGGCCGCCCAAATATGACTGTGGCCCACTTCGAGATGCGCGATGGCTATCGAGAACAAAAGGATCTTCCTATTGCTTAACATGGCGCATCCTCTCTAACTGGGACTATTGTTACTACGGTACAGTAGAGCTGGAGCTTGGGTTCGCCTGAGGCGACGCAGCTGGTTGGGCCCCCCCAGCCCCCTTCAAACTCCGAAAACCTCCAGGAACCGACGACCTCGGAAACACGTTTTATTGGGGGGGGGGGTCCGAAGAGCCAACGGGCGAGCGCGCACTGAAGCCAGAGTGGACGCAAACAGCATCTAGCGTGAAACGGCAAAACCCTACGTAAGCAGAAGTACAGGAGGAGGAGGAGGAGGAGGAGGAGGAGGAGGAGGAGGAGGAGGAGGAGGAGGAGAGGAGGAGGAGGAGGAGGAGGAGGAGGAGAGGAGGAGGAGGAGGAGGAGGAGGAGGAGGAAAAGGAGGAGGACGGGGAGGAGGAGGAGGAAGAGGAGGAGGAGGAGGAGGAGGATAATGAGGAAGAGGAGGAGGAGGAGGAGGGGCCGCCGCCCATCCGCGGGCCAGGTGGTCGTTGCCGCCTACAGCCTCACGCTGCCCACCTTCGCTCCCGCGGGGCTCCCGGAGCCTCCGCTGGACAGCATCAGGCTCCCTGCCTGCGTGCATGCGGAGAAGCTATGAGGGCGGGAGGCCGGAGTAGGGAGGGAGGGAGGGAGGAAGGGGGGATGAGGTTTAGGAAGAGGAGGAAGAGGAGGAGTATGAGGAGGGATGATGGATGATGGATGAAAGATGGTAGATGATGAATGGTGGAAGGTGGGTGATTGATGCCGCTGCTGCTGATGATGCTGACGGTGATGATGATGATGGTGGTGGTGATGATGATGATTGTGCTGGTGCTGTTGCTGCTGCTGATCATGATGAGGAGAAGGAGGATGAGGAGGATCAGGAGGTGGAGAAGGATGAGGAGAAACGACGATGCTGATGCTGATGCTGCTGCTGGTGATGATGGTGCTGATAATGATGATGATGATGAGGAGGGAGGAGGATGTGGAGGAGGAGGATAATGATGAGGAGGGTAAATGATGATGCTGATGATGCTGATGCTTCTGTTGATGTTGAAAACGGTGATGATGGTGATGGTGATGGTGATGGTGATGATCATTCGGATGATGATGCTGCTGAAGATGATGACGATGATGATGTTGTTGCTGCTGCTGCTGCTGCTGCTGATGATGATGATGATGATGATGATGATGATGATGATGATGATGATGATGATGCTAACGAGGATGATCATGACGTACGGTGATAACGATTGTGGTGATGTTGATGTTGACGCTGATGATGATCATGATGACAATGCTGATGGTGATGATGGCCGTGCTTGCACATCTCATCTCTGGTGGAACCGAGGGCCGTCGCGGTCGCGCCGATGCGCCGCAACCACGTCGGCTCAAGTCTTTTTCTGGAGGGTGAGGCCTCCGCCTGGATGCGCCTCAGCTCCGGGCTCGGCCTCCCGCTCGCAAGCAACGCCCTTCTCCTGTACCTGGTGCACTGGTGGCTGCAGCCTGGCGTGCCCGCTGCTCCCGTCGCTCCCGCGGCAGCTGCGGCCCTCCCTCCCGAGGAGGCGGGCCCATTCCCGGCGCTGGGCGAGGCCGCCGGGGTCCAGGTGCCGCTGGCGGAGTGCCTGGCGGCCGCCCTGGACGCGAGGGACGCGGCGCGCGCCTGCCCCTCGCCCTGCCCGCAGTGCCCCGTCTGCGACGCGGGCAGCGGGCCGCGGCCTTCCCTGGCGTGGGAGGCGGCGCTCTGCGTCCTGCTGCTGCTGGCCTCCGAGCTCCTGCGCTGGGGGCTCACGCTAGCTGCGGCGGCGGCCCGACTCCCTTGCTGGGGCCGCGCTCGGCGGCCCGCCCTGGACGGCGACCTCCCCGCGGGCGCGCAGCAACCTGTGCGTGAGGACTCGCCTGGCCGACGCGTGCGTCGGATCGGCGGGCTGGGCCGCTTCTCATGATCTCGGTCGGCGATGAGATATGGATCGAGTACGACGAGCCTGGGCCGCGGCTGGCGCACAAGCGGATCGTCGTGGCGGTGCACTCCCGAGGGCTCGGGCACTATGCGGTGCTCACGCTCGACTTTGACGTCTACGTCGAGGAGTGTGACGATGGGAACGCCGACATCCGCAACTGGTGGAAGGAGCCCCGCCGCGGCCCCGCAAGGGGCCGTCATCCCCCAGGGCTGCGTCGCTACGACTTCGCCGCCATGCCGACGGTCGCCCAGCTTGCCCAGGCCATCGCTCTCGGGACCGCGAAGATGGCGGAGCACGAGCGCGACGCTGGCGGGGGCCCTCCTTCTGCTGCACCCCCTCCGGGCGCTGCTGGCGGTGGCGGCCAGCCCGTTCCCCCTGTGGCCGCAGGGGGCGCGCCTCTGGGAGGCGGCGTCGCCGCGGGCGCGCCCGCGGCAGCCGGCGGCGGCGGCGGCGCCGCCGCCGCCCCCGCTCCTGCAGCCGCGGGCGGCGCAGCGGGCGCCCCAGGCGCTGGGGGCGGGCTCGCTGGGCTTGCCGCCCTGCCGGCCGCCCCGCCCGCCGCGGGCGGAGAGGTCGTCGCTGCAGCGGCCCCCGCATCCCGACGGCGCCGCCGTCCCGGAGCCAGGGGGCCCGCGGGCGCTCCCCACGGCTTGCGACATGCAGGGCCAGCGGCGCCGCGAGTTCAGGGGCAGCGTGCAGCTCATGCGACCGACGAGTTTCCCTGATTGGCCTGTGCCAGGCCCGTCCGCGTACCACTGGGTCGCGACGTACCAGGTCGAGAACGGTGGCTCGCCGATGGGACATCATCTCGCCTGGAGGGCGGCTCTTGGATCCAGTGTGCCTGTTGACGATCCCACCGTCTCCATGCATCACGAGTTCTCCAAGGTCATGCAGGTTGCCCAGTCATGCGATCAGCTCGACGGGTCGAACCTGGCCTCCCTGGAGCGTGTCGCGCGGCAGCTCCAGCTCTGCGAAGAGCGGTACAGGGACAAGTTGGTCTCCCCACGATCCCTCGGCAGCGGTGGTGACGAGCAATTTTTCTTCACGGGGATGCAGTCCACCAGAGGGCTCATGGTCTGCCCCGCCCTGTCCGAGTGGATCTCGAAGCAGCTTGCCGCCGAGTCGGCCATCGCGAAGGAGCGCCGCAAGGCGCGCGGGGGGCGGCAGCTGCTCTGGCCGCCCGCAGGTGGCCGCGGCGGTGGACAGGGCGGCGGCGCTGGCAAGGCTGCGAAGTCTTAGCTGGCCCCCAACGGCGTCAGTGCAGCGGTCGCCAGGACCTCGGCCATCCTGGAGGGCTCCCCTCTGGCCCCTCGCCCCTGACAGCCCATGGCTATCAGTCGTCAGCGAAACGTCCTTCCTCTTCCTCTCCTACCTCGTGATGTTCCCCCGGATGCTGGCGGTCGCAGCGGTGCTCTGGCTCGGATCGACTGGGCCAACGACGGCATCAACGCGATCAACTGGCTCGCTGTGTGTGTGTGTGTGTGTGTGTGTGTGTGTGTGTGTGTGTGTGTGTGTGTGTGTGTGTGTGTGTGTGTGTGTGTGTGGGGCGCCGCCTACTCGGAAGCGCCGTTCAGTTTTGCAGCAGCGGTCGCTCGACTGCATCGCTGCTCAGCATGCCGAGCTCGGCGGCCCGCCGGCTGACATATCCCGCGCCAGTTCGCTCTCCGACCTCTGCTGCAGCTGCCCGCTCTACTCGGCGGGGCGCGGCAGCGTGGTCTCCTACAGCAAGGACCTGGTGTCCTGGCCTTCTGGCGGCTCGGCGCCTGTCGCGCTGCATGGCGCCATTTTGGAGGCCGACCGTTTGTGGCTGCAGGATTGGAAGGCCCGCGTGCTGCGCCCACCTGAGGAAGCAGCGGTCCCCCGACGAGATGTCGGGCCCCCCAACCCTGCGTTGACCCCGAGCTTCGGCACCCTGCCACTTGCGGCGAGTTCATCGATGAGCTCCTGGGCAGGGGCATGCTGCGCCCCCCCCCCCCCCCCCTCGCTCATGGCCGTCGCGGGCTCCTGGGGGTCTTCGTGGTCGCCGCGAAGTCGGGCCAACAGCGGCTCATTTTCGACGCCCGCGTCTGCGACGCTTGCTTCAAGTCGCCTCCCTGCACCGAGCTGCCAAGCGGCATCGCCTTCGCTCGCGTGGGGGCGCAGGGCGGCTGCGACGCATGGTTCAGCAGCGGAGACATCTCCAACGCCTTCTTCGCCATGCAGGTCCCGAGGGCCTCTGCGAGTACTTGTCTTTGCCACCTGTTCGTGCTGGGCTTGCTGGCATTTCTGAGCTCGACGGCGTCGCGATCCACGAGTCCGAGTGGCTTCTCCCCGAGCCCACCATCCTGCCGATGGGCTGGTCTTGGGCGCTGCGCCTCTGCCAGTGCGTCTCGGAGGCCGCGCTCGCCCGTGCCCGCGTCTGCCCCGCGCAGCAGGTCCGCGACCGCAGCCGCGGCGTTGTCCTTGCGCCCCAGTTGCCTGTCGCGGGCGCCGCGTGCGTTGACAACTGCCTCGTCGCAGGCTCAGAGCGGGCCAAGGTTCAGTCCGTGGGCCGCATGGTGGAGCGTGGACTCTCCTCACTTGGCTTTGTTGTCCACGAGCAGGTTGAGGCAGCCAGGTCGACCGGCTCCGCGGGGCTCGAGCTCGACGGGCATCGCCGCTCGGCGCGGGTTTCTGCGCGCCGCGCCTGGCGGCTTCGCGTCGCCGTCGAGGAGCTGCTCCGTCGGCCGACGGTTCGCGGGTCCATCTTGGAGATTGTCGTGGGCCACTGCGCCCTGGCCATGCTGCTCAAGAGGTGCTCGCTGGCCATCTTCGACGCGGTCTACGCCTGCATCGCCTCCGCGAAGGACGAGCCAATGCCGCTCTGGCCGTCGGTGTGGCGCGAGCACTGGCATGTCCGTTCGCTGCTGCCGCTCTTCGTCGTCTTCGCCGACGCGGACTGGCACGGCGAGGTCGCCGCCAGCGACGCCTCGGGGTGGGACTGTGGGGTCTACCGCCGCCGCTGCGACCGTGACTCTGCGGCCGAGACCGGCCGCGCCGCCGAGACGTGGCGTTATCTCTTCGAGGAGTCAGCTCGCGCGCGCGACCGCGCCCTGGGGCCTGGCGCGCCTGGCGCTGTGCTTCGTGACCCTGGCATCCCGCCGACGGACGAGGCCGAGAACTGGGGCAAGTCCCTCGGCGAGGTCGACCCGAATTTCCTCGCCGAGGATGGATGGGTAATAGGGCACTCGTTCCCCTGGAGGGGCCCCTTCGACATCTACTGGGCGGAGGGGCTCGCCGTCGCGTCCGCGCTGCGCCGCCAGCTCAGGGCAGCGGGCGCCTTCGGGAAGAGGATCGCGTGCCTGGTCGACAATGTGTCACTCGCCCTCGCCTTCGGGAAGGGCCGAGGGGCCTCGCCGCAGCAGCGCGGCGATGCGCCGTTTCGCGGCCTCCGATGCATCATGTCCGCTTACGCGGGGGTGGTTGCTGCTCTTGGTGACCGCCTCCATGATCCCCGAGGCTCCCGCGGGAAAGCGGCGGCGCTCGGCGCGGCCCCCGATGCCGACACGCCGGGGCAGGGATCCTGACGGCCGCCGCCCCGCGAGCGGCTGCTGCCCGCCAGCGCGAGGCCCTGAATAGGGAGCTCCTGATGGGGATCACCTACCTCGAGCAGAGGTCCGTCGGCAAGGCCACGCTGAAGGAC